GGAAGTTACTGAACATCTTCTAGTTGTATTTACTGCTATGATAAGTGAAAAGCTTCACACTCACATAACACTTACTGACAGCTGTTGACTCCACACAAGTCCTTTCCACCATGTTAAAGTTAGGGAGAAGGGATATACATTCGAAATATACTCAGATATCTTTATTCTTCTCAACTTCCTCCAAGTTTTGATCTTTGTAGTTCAGATACGACACTTTGGCTGCTAGTTGGACAAGGTGAAAGCAGAGGTCTCAGAAGGAAACGTTCATCATCTTGCAATGTTCTTGAGCTGTTGACCAGATGATCACCTCATCTTTATCAAGACAGGGCCACCTCAGACATTACTGATTTGTTACCTTTGTGTTTGCTGACAGCATACGGCATGAGTTACAACACTCCACTCACTTGCAGTCATGATGCTCTGAAAGTTCACAATAATCTTCTGGTTTGCTGTCATCTGCCACTCAAGTGAACTCTTGGCACAAGTCTGATTATAATACAAAAATGTCACTTGGCAATTTCTGAAATTGAGTTGCTCCTTGTTTTTTAATGATGTTGGATATCACTGAACAATGTGGGTATTACTGCAGCTTTTTACTAGATAAAAAAACTTCTCTTGAGAAACAAAACTCATTAACAACTAGACATACACAAACTCTACATTTCTACTTTGAAGGAAACATCAAAATTCTTATTCAAACCATCAACCAATAATTTTTGTTTTCTGGAACAACTAACCAATCATGACAACAGAGGTGGGAACACCTACTTGAACATTCCACCTTTCATCGGTCTTGGAAACTTCCAAAATAAAATCTATACAAGTTCTGAAATAAAAAGTAATTATGAGTTGCTACAACTTTGCAATTATTTCAGTTAACGCAGTGAGTTTATACAAAGTCGTAGGAGCAATTAATTAGTCCTAAATAAGGAAAAAGTACACGCTACACCAGATTTCTCTAAAGTACACGCTAGATCAAATTTCTCTAAAGTACATGCTACAATAGCTTTTCTAAAGAACATGCTACTTTAAAGTAAAGTTGTCTAGGCTCAGTTGAATTGACTGACCACGTGATATCTATCCTGTGGAAATGAAGCTTGTAGCCAAACAAGATTGAAAGCTAATAAAACTATGCTTTGTCAGAGTGATGACAATATTATAATGGGTATTGCATGTTAAATTTCATACTTATTGAAGGAGTGGTGAATAAATTAGAAAAGAAGAGATGCCTAAAAAAAAAAATGTTACATTTCTCACACTAGGAGAAATTCAGGATTTTTTTTTAATATTGCCTTATAAAATTAATAACATAAAACTTATATACTATTGAAATATTGTTTATGCTATACTAATTGGTATAATACAAACAAAAAGTAGTTTAATTAAATTTTGAATGTAACTCATGATATGCGCAATAAAGGATGGCTGGGTAGAGAGGGTTAACAACTCTAGTAACAAACCAAGCACATCCAAGTGGGAGAGGATAAGTCAGGAAAGTGATCCCAACCAGATAAGTATAGAAACCCAATTTCACAGAAGTAAAGTGAGTAATAGAGGATGCATCCTATGGTGTAGAATGGCTAGGACATGGCAGACCATACTTGGTAAGTCAACTACATCCAAAAACCTCCTTGCTGGGTACCAATATCCACATGAGGATAGGATGAGGATCATACCAGCTTCACCTCAAGCTCCAAAATCGTGGATATGAGGAAAACTCAGACTCCAGGACATAACACAGGATTAGCATTGAGCCAGGGATCTGGGAATGTGTCATCCGGTATTTGAGGGAAGTCCATCACATGCAATCAACTCCAGCAACTATGAGACTGGTCCATAACATCCAAAGGTCAGTAACATCCTCACCGCAAAAGAAAACAAGGGAGTGCCAAGGACAGAAATGGAAACATCCCACAAATACCCTCCATGATTTACTATGCAGAAGGAAGAATCAGGGTATGAAGGTGGACAACCCCAAACCTGTGCGAGGACTTAAGTTGATTGGTTCACTGAATATCCAAAGCCAGCCCACAGGGTACTAACATCCATGCAAGGGTAGGATGAGGGCACCCAATTGAAGTGATGAACTGCATTTAGATGTCTCACTGCATGGTATGTGTCACTCAAGTGTAGAAGGATGTTACACCTTCTACACCGGCAGAACACCACCGCCCGACTCTAAACTGAAGGATGCCTACATGGTCAATCACCCCATGACTTGGAACTTGAGAAGTAGTAAGGATTCCCATACTGAAAGAAATGGGTGGGGGAGGAAGAGCATTGGAGAGTCTGGAGGAAAGGCTACATCTGAGACAGTACAATGGGTGATCACAAAAACCTATTTTGAAAGACAGACCACACAGATTTATTCAATCGAGGCATGGCAGGAATGAGCAGCAATCCCCTTCTGTGGTATGGTCTGGGATGGGCCTATTTAATAAGCAAATATCACATTGTTATTGACCATCCAGTGATCTTGTGAAATACCCCATCTTGAAGGTGAGTGTGTGGAGCCATGAAAAGAGCATGCAAATCAACATGGCGTTCAGTGCTGATTTCTTTGTGTATGTAAAGAATACCTGTTCAGGCACCACTCACCATAGAACAGGCCCTTGAAAGAAAATAAAGCATTAATAAAACTTGCCTAGTGCCATAGGTGCACCAAAGTCTAAAGTATAGCCACAGGTGGTAGGCAATACACCAAGGAAGCAGAAACTGCGATGTGATATAAGTAAGGGGAGATGAACATCTGAGAGGTGGTCCACATGCCTGACTGCTGAATCTGCTCCAAAGTCTGATGAAGATGAGAAGCAAGGGAAAAGGTGAGGTGTCAAATATGATGGGAGGTAACATGGAACAAAACATGTTGGGAAGGGGACAAAGAGGAATAAGCCAACTGGATTAAATAATGAACCCAATTGGTAAGGGTAAAGGGAGAAAGATCCTGAGAGGAGGAGGGTTGCCATGGGATAAAGAGACAGGAACCCCTGAAGGAAGCTGTGCAGGCAATATAACAACGATGGGCATGCAACAAGCATAGATCAAGATGAGGGTATATATGAGAAAGAGAGGGAAGGGAAATGGATGAAAAGAAAGTTACCCTCGTGTGCCACCAAGGTCTTGGGAATGAAGGAAAAATCCAGATAAAGGAGAAGAAAAGTTTTGTGATACAGTGTGCGAGTGACATTGATAGCAAACAGGTCCGACCAACAGCACCCTCAAGCCATGAGGAGAAGGAAATACTTCTTAAGAGATATGTGAAACAAAAAGCATGAGGCAATGGGCTCAATCGAAGGTAAAGTAAGGGAATTGAGTACCATATTAATGTCCCAATCCGGAAGTACCGGACGCCTAGGCAGTCAACGTATCAGAACTTCTTTTCTCTCTCTCTCATAGTATACGAAATCAGTCAGTTTCAACCACAATAATTAGAAATAAATATCCAAAAGTTATGTTTTCTTATTTTATAGTTGCAAGTAGCCAACACTTTTCTATTGCTCTTTGACAGTCTGAAACAAAAAGCTAAACTTTCTATCACTACTTGACAGTTACAAAAAACTAACATTTCTTTCATTCCATCTGAATTATAATAAAAACAAGACCTTGTTTCCTCTCCTTCAGCATTATGAACAAACCACTGATGCTTCATCTAACTCCACTGGTTATTAAGAAACAAGATTGTTGTACTACCTGAATGTTATTAAGAAACAAATATGGCTTTCTTTCACTTCTTGACAGCCTTAACAAATTATGACTTATTCTACTTTCCACTTTTTCTTCTGTAATTTAATATTAAACCTAGTTTTTATCAGAGATAAAATGAAATTAAATATTTATACACTAAATGAGACTATGAAACATTTAACACTTTAATATTTTTTTTTTCATTTGGATCAAGTACACTTCAGTTTTGTAGAATATCATTTTTAACCAGTCTGTTAATGATAGACAGCATTAGATTTACAAAACTGTCTAACCTTTCTCTGTCATACCACCCACAAAATAAAATTATAAATTACATATTCAAATTTAGTATTTATTTTTCATATAAATGTTAACAACATCTGTTTTTAATAAAGTAATAGAAAAAGATATAAACTTATAATCCTGATTGAAATTTTTGAAAGTTTCATTTTGAGAATAAAAGTATATAAATATTTCCACTTGTGAAGTTGAATTTTGTCAACATTTGAAACATAGCTGCAAACCTGCAGTCTTTGTACTCGTTTATTGTCAACATTTGAAACATAGCTGCAAACCTGCAGTCTTTGTACTCGTTTATTGTCAACATTTGAAACATAGCTGCAAACCTGCAGTCTCGTTTATTGCTCATTTCTCAGTTTGAAAACAATGTTTGTTTGGAGTTTGGAATAAAAAACTAAAAATCCAACTAGCCATACTTTTTGTTTTAAATTTCTTAAGTTAACAAAATCACATATATTTTGTGGAAACTGGGTTTGCTTTTCTTTTACTTTCTTAGAAACTACTTGCCTTGAGCACCTTATCTTCCTTGTAAGTGTTCGAAATTGTTCAACTTTATTCAGTATAGCAAGAAACTTCTCTCTCCAATTGCATGCCTTCAAATAAACAAGTTTCACTAGTTCCTTTGCTTACTTATTTTACTTTACCAGTTGTATTTCACTTTACAAAAATCATTGCTAGTAATGAAAAAATAATTGGGTTTTACAGTAATTTTCCCTGGCATGATCTCAGAGATTAGCAGGGACTCCTCTTGAAACAGCTATTGGAATTTTTGAATGGAGTACAGAGGTAGGTTTTATAAATAAGACAAAGTGTAATTAGGTGCATGACTCTTTTTAAAAATAAAATCTGTTAATCATGTCACAAATTTATAGTTCTATCACCATTGGAGAAGGTCCACTTGCCCAAAGACAGAACAAATAGTTTCAATTTATGGATTATTTAATTAAAAATCAACTTCTCTATTAAAAAAGTAAAGCTTTAGTTAACTTTAATTAACACAGGTATGCTATACTAACCCATGGAATTGGATCTGAAATACATCTTCAAACATTCGCAAAGTTAATGCTACACCTTTATACATGGATCCTAAAAAAACACCTGACCCTGCAAAACACATCACAGTGGCAATAAGGGTGGCATAAGGGATTCTTGCCATGCATCGAAAACATCCTCCACAACAGCCTGGAATAAACAAACATACAAAAAAGGTTAATGAAATATTCAGTTAACATAGTATACAATTTGTGTATGTATAACAACCAGAAAACAAAAGTTGCAGGAACAACGAAATATTTCATGAACCTGGTACACAATTTTTCATTAACAAACTAGATATGACAGAAATAACAGAACTATACAAATAATCAGTGAACATAGCTCCAAATTCTGACTACTTGATTGATGGAACCTGATAATTGTTTATTGTAAAATAGTTACTTTTAACTGCAAAGATGTACTGAAAAACATATTTTTACCAATAAACATGAATAAGTTTACTGCAAAATTTAAAAACTAAGTATAAAACAAACATTTATAAATACTTATTCAACTTTAACTTGTAGATTAAGAAAGTCTGAAATAAAAAACAACAATCAGAATATCTGTCCTGTTAGATTTGATATACATATTGTTTGTGACATTAAACTTCAAGAAATCAATAACCAGCTGTTTTTCTAAATTTTTAAATAAAAATTCATATTTAAAACCATCAGTACTTAGTGAAACTCCATAATTACAGAATTGAGGAAAATACATTTACATCATTTATTAAAACCATTGTTTCACCAGTAAAGGTATCATGGTTGTAATAAATGATGTATTTGTGAAATGTACAATTGTCTTGTTTTTCCTCAATTCCGTAGTTATAAACAAAAACATGATTCAAGATTTATGGCACAACATTTGTGGGGTAGCAAGGAAATGCAAGTACATACAAGTCAAAGTTGAAAACACAGGAGATAACTGCACCTGGATGAAATATTTTGTAAAATACTAAGATCAGTTAAATACATGCAGTTGCACTTTTTTTTAAGCTAAGTAATTTCTATAACTAACTTTTAAAATAAGAACACCATCGTCAGCTTGAACAGTGTAACGAGCTTCATACAAGAGTTTGTTTGAAGACCGTGTTAACAAATATCTCCATATAGACCTGAAACATCTTCGCCAAGTGGATAAAGTTCATCACACTAACCAAAATTAGTCTTTCCTTAGCACCAATAACCACTATCTTACAACCAAAAACATCACTCGCAGCTCAGTAAATGTTAGATTTGATGGATTCAACTAGCTCAAAACATGCAACAAAATCATCTTTCTTGTATAAAAAAAATGCTGGATATTTCAAATTAAATATTTTTACAAGATTAATAAAGATAAACATGATACATGTATTAACATTATTAAAATGAGAACCATTCTGCTCCTTGACAAGCATGACCTCTTGGCTCGGAACTCGATCTGGAGAGGTATGGTTCAAAGTCATGGTCTGGTATAAGTACTTATAAACACTTTAAACTTTTGTTAACACAATCCAACATTAAGACCATATAGTCAAATTCTGTAGCTGTTTATGATTTTCCTTGCAGACAAAATATGTAAACACTATGAATGTTGCTGCCCAAACTACACCAAACTTACACACGTTTTTCATGAAAAAAAAAACATGTAGATGGCTAAATCAACAGGAAGAATGCAAGTGGATTCTGCTCAGTCACTCCAGTCTGAATGTAGAAATACAAACCTGTGGCTGTTTCACCACATTAACAAATGACAAAGCTTATTCTTAACTTAGCTGTATAAATCATACAGTTTTCTTTAGTAAAGCTTAACAATGTTTAATAACTTTATGTCATCTAGACACATTCTGAAATTAACTGGTATCTGCCTAGTGTTTGGACTAATTTTATACTTCATATACAAATAGTATTCCCACAGGAAAGACAAAAACTTCATCTTTTCATGAAAAATAGTTTATAAACTTTTCTTTTGTTACCTAGTGTAAACACCTGTTACATATTAGATAAGTATTTATATTTTTAACTCACCATCAAAACTGTAGCTTGATGTTAAAACAAAATAGGTCAATCTATTCTTGAAGCTGTTATGAAATTAGATTGATTTTAAGAGATATCTACCTTTAACAGTAACTCTTAGCAATAGTAAACCAAAAAAACAAGACCCAGCCTCTCTAGTGTTGAGCAGAGGTCTATATACATAAGTTGAAATGATTAACGGACATTACAAAATAAATAAATGAGCTTTTGTTGTGATGGTTGCATCTGAAAATTAGGATAAATATTCAGATAAACGGATGTACATGTGCTAAAGTCCAAACCAGAACTCAGACCCTCATAAAACTGTTACTACTACTAGTGTTAGGATCAGCTGGAAATGGCATACTGAAGGGTTGAAAGATTGGCATTAATATCGTGACATTATTTCCAGGTCTGAAGAAAAGCTTCATTTCGTTTTATCATAATGTGTAAATCGTTGAATTTTCAACAGCCACTAATCTCACTAAACAATATTTTTGTCGAGGCGCTTGTGGCATTTAACTGGTTGAAATTATTCAGTATATATGCTTTGTAAACGTATTTCAAAACTTTCTCCAATGATAACCATCAATAAGGGACCACTTGCTAAAATACTGTTTAGAGTAACAAGTACTCATATTCAACAGATACCAAGTAAACTCGCTGGTAATTGTACTATGTGTAAACAGAAACCTACAGATCTCGCTGAGTCACGTTTATCTCACAGTGAAAACCATAGCAACGATTCAAAGTATATTTTGTTTGTTGTTAAGCGCGAAACTACATAATGAGTTATCTGTGCTGTGTCCGCCCCAGATATCGAAATCCGGTTTGTAGCGTTATAAGCCTTCAGACTTACCACTGAACCATTGGGATGAGGTCATTAACACGATAGTCCAACCTCATAGCACGTGTTCCTACCCATCTAT